AAATAAAATCGGGTTATCAGATGAACTTTCGAGGTTAAACAAGCAATGAATGCAATCTCCTATATATACAGGAGAAAATAATGTCATTGAAAACCAAACCAAACAAAGAATAGGATTTCTTTGTGCTTTTTTCTTTCAGTTTAGGAGATCAAAAATAGTCATTATCATCAGTTTTGTTTTTTGTGAATGAAATTCTCTTATTATGGTCAAACATTACCAATTTTCCAAGCAAGAAAAAAACATCGATTCGAGATAATCTTTAATCCAAATTGAGAGGGAAAGAAAAAATCAAATCAAATAAAACTTAAACTAAATCGCATCAGACCGGACAGATATCTGTGTCAAGAAAAATGTTTTTGTAAATAATAAAAAAAAACTTGATCGATTAAAATAGGTAAAAAAATGAATGAAATCATCATGTGAATGATGTGTTGGATGATAAGATTTTTCTTTTTCTTGTTTGGCAAACATTAATTTATTTAATTCGAAAAAAAACGAAACGAAACGAAAATGATGATTATGATTTGTTGATGATCAAGAAAAGTTTTTTTTTCAAATTTGGATCGTCAAAATGGTCAGAGTTTGAATAAAAACAAAAAAACCGGACCAAGTTTGATACAAAAAGGGAGAGAGAGAAATGAAATCTCGTATCTCTTTTCTGATTGATTTTTGATAAATATCTTGATTTTCTGGTCATCATAATCATAATAATCGAATCAATAAGATGCANAATCCCATTCAAGATAAAAATTGTGTGTATTGAAAAAAGTTTAAATGTAAATGGATGTGGAGGATCGGATGTTTTTTTTTTGATAAAAGTCCATAGGTAAAAATCGATTAATGTAAAACGGAAAAACTAAAACTAAAAATAGTTTTTTCCGTACACACACCATACCATCATCATACGATCAGCATTTTTTTTTAATATCCAATCGACGAGAGGATATATTGCATTTGTTTGTTTTGTTTTGGATTTTGGATTTGGTGTTTCTCTTGATGTGATAATTTCTCGAAGAAATTTTCATCAGGATTTTCTTTAAAAACTTTTATCCATTTCATTCATCCATTCATGATTCAATAATGTGATCAATGTGATAATATCATTGTTGTTGTTGTTGTTTTCCGCCTATAGATTTCATTTATCTTTAGGGCAAATAATGAATCCTATCTATAGAAAAAGTATAATCTATTTTAAATCTCTTTATCTTTTTTTCTTTCTTTCTAAAACTGAAAGGAAAAAAATGATAAATTTTCATTGAATAATCACTTATCCGGATTTTCTTTCTTTCTTTCTTTCTACGGGAATAGGACTAATTAACTTTTTTTTTGTTTTGTTTTACTAAATAGCATCATTATACCGGTTATGCTTTTTTGTTGCGTTGATTAATATTTATCGGGCTCCGGATATATTAGACATTTTTGGAGAAAAAAAAATATTGATCGATTGCAATGGATAAAATAGACGATGATGATGATGATTTGAAACATCAAAAAAAAAACATAAGATTTTTCCAATATAAGATGTATTTTTCAATGTAACATTGACCAATATGTTGTGTGTGTGTGTGTGGGTTTGGTGTGGAAAAAGAAATATTTTTAGATTTTTCATTTTGTTTTTCGTCTTCTAACCACTATCGACCATCGTCCAACTAACCATCATCATCATCATCATCATCGACCAAAACAAAAATAAATGAAGAGAAACAATCTTCAAAATGACCAAGACACCAGGCTAGATCCAAAATACAAATTATCAACCAACAACAACAACCATTCTCTCTCTCTCTCATTTGGCAAACTTAAAATAAACATGTTCTATTTATTTTCTGGTTAAATGTTTGTTTGTTTGTTTTTGTTGAATATTATCTATATAAACATCATCGTTGTGTTGTTTATTTCCAGAAGAAGACGAAAACTAATGAAAATTAAAAACTAGACGGAATGAATGAAATTAAATGAATTTTTTGATAGTTTGTTATGGTTTGTTTGGAAAAAAATGTTTTTAAACATCGATTTTAGTTTCAAACATACACAAACACAAGTTTTATGAACCGTATCATAACTTTTGTTTTTTGATTTTTTAAATTTGATTTTTGATTTCCTGATTCATCATCATCATCATGATTTTCAAATAAAAAAAAGGAAAATGAAAATGAAATTTTGAAATTTGAAAATTTTCTTCAATTAAAAATTTTCATTATTCAATTTTCAATTTTTTAAATAAAATCGGGTTATCAGATGAACTTTCGAGGTTAAACAAGCAATGAATGCAATCTCCTATATATACAGGAGAAAATAATGTCATTGAAAACCAAACCAAACAAAGAATGAGATTTCTTTGTGTTTTTTCTTTCAGTTTAGTGATCGAACATGGTTAGTTATCATCATTGTTTTTTGGTGAATGAAATTTTCTTATTATGGTCAAATCACAAATTTACCGATTTTCCAAGCAAACATCGATTCGAGATAATCTTTTTTTTCATTAATCCAAATTGAGAGGAAAAGAACAAAAATCAATTCAAATAAAACTTAAACTTAATCGCATCAGACCGGACAGATATCTGTGTCAAGAAAAATGTTTTTTGTAAATAATAAAAAAAAACTTGATGGATTAAAATAGGTAAAAAAACGACGAATGAAAATCATCATGTGAATGATGTGTTGGATGATAAGATTTTCTTCTTTTTTTCTTGTTTGGCAAACATTAATTTATTTAATTCGAAACGAAACGAAAATGATGATTATGATTTGTTGATGAAAAAGAAAATTTTTTTCAAATTTGGATCGTCAAAATGGTCAGACTTTGAATAAAAACAAAAAAACCGGACCAAGTTTGATACAAAAAGGGAGAGAGAGAAATGAAATCTCGTATCTCTTTTCTGATTGATTTTTGATAAATATCTTGATTTTCTGGTCATCATAATCATAATAATCGAATCAATAAGATGCATTTTTTTTGATTACACGATTTAAAATAGATTATAAGGATGGAAAGTTATTTCATCATCAGTCAGTTCTCCATCATTCATTTTCTCGTTTTGGGGTTATCATATGGCTGCTAAGGATCGGGCATTACGATGATAATTTTACCCGAGGTATCATGTTGATAATAATAATCACCATCATCATCAGCATAATGAGTAACCGTTTCCCCGCAGTGTTTTCTAAACATCACAATCACATCACCACATTTGGGCTTTTTTTGCAAAACTCGAAAAAAAAGTGAAGAGTGAACCCAAAAATAATGATGATGATGATTATGATTGAAAGATACAAACAGAACAGAACAAGATTAATAAATAGATAACCAACAACAACAACAAGTATGAAGAGAGAAAGAAAAATGAAAAGAGCCTGATCTGATAATTTTTTCAAAGAGAAATTGTTTCATCAATCGATTGGGATTGATGGAAGAGAAAGTATCAAAATAATCAAAATGAGATTGTGGTGTGTGTGTGTGGGGATTTGAGAAATAGGTTTGTTTCCAAAATAATAAAAATAAAAAATTTCTTCTTTTTCTGACAAGCTAAAAATGAAGAAGACGAATTAAAATGTATTATATGAAAAAAACTAGGCCATATTACCTGTCTCTATATTATCCTGGCGTCTTTTTTCTCTTTTATTTTCTTTCGCATTTGATTTTATCATCTTCATCCAAACGAACGAACGAAAATAATAAGGAGCCATCACAAGTTTTAGTCTTTTTTTCAAAGTCCAGGTTTCTTCGATGCAACGAACGAACGAACGAAAAAACCTATCTTGAAAGAAAGAAAAAAAATTTCAGTATTTTTTTGCAGTGTATCATTATTTGCCATAACCACCAAGATGATGATGATGATGTAAATCACCAACACAAAATTTCGCATATTTTTTGTTAATGATAAATCAACACTGATTTTTGTGTTTGTTTTGTGTTTTTAAAAAGTTTCACAATTTAATTGTTGATTGTTGTTTGTAAATTAAATTAATTAATCAATTATCATCACCATCATCATCTAATGTTGTTACAATAATCATTCAATCGATAATCAATAAATAATGAATCTATCATCACATAGAAAAATTTTTAAATTATCGCTCACTTTGATCGGAGTGATAGCGATTAATTTGTTCGAATCGATTTATGCTGATCCTTTTCCTTTGAATAATTTCGATACTATCGATAGTGGTGGTGAAAGTGATGGTCATCATACATACGATTCGATTATGTTACCGAAAAGATTCATGTCACCATCCGCTGTATCACCATTATCAAAAATTGATCTTCATCTAAGTGATAATGAAATTGAACAAGCATTTACATTGGGTAAAGATATGGTTTATAGAAATTGGCGTTTAGAAGATCAATTAGTACGTGATGGTATATTTACAAATATGAGCCATATATCGGCTGTTAGTCGTCATCAAGCCGTTACAACAACATTACCATTGGGTAATATTTTGGATCATAATCAAGAAGTTTTCGAAGAAACAAGTAAAATTCTTTTAAGAAAGTAAATAATCTTCAAAAATTTCTTCAAAAATCATTGAATTAATTATCCATTGTTCATTATATTCATTATATCATAGTTTGACAACAAATCTAGATCCATATGAAACATCCGAAACAGCAATGGCATTATCAAGCGTGCAGTTAAGATCACCACTAGCAAAAGCTGCAGTTGATCATTGTCAACAACATATAATGTGTAAACCATCACGTTATCGTACAGCTGATGGTAGCTGTAATAATTTACAATATCCGGAATGGGGAAAATCTTTCACTTGTTTTCAACGTTTATTACCACCAGCATATGCTGATGGACAATCTGAACCAAGAAAATCTATTGATGGATATCCATTACCAAATCCTCGTGTATTATCTGCTGTTGTTCATCGTGATTTAAATTATCCGGCAACATATACACATATGGTTATGCAATTTGGACAATTTGTTGCACATGATATTGCATTTACACCTAGTTCACGAACAAGTTCGTTTAGTTTTTTCTAATTTATTGTATTTTCTTATCAATTCAAATCTCTTTTTCTGACAAATAGAGGATGGTAAAATGATACAATGTTGTCCATGGGGATCAAATCGTCATCCACAATGTTATCCAATACCATTACCAAAAGAAGATCCATTTTATTCAAAATTTGAAGAAGATTGTATGAATTTTGTTCGTACAGCTAAATGTCCACAGTGTAAACTTGGTTAGTATGAATTTAATTTTTTTAAATTAATAATCATTCAAATTTGATTCTTGAAACAAACCAAAAAACAAGGTCCGCGGCAACAAATGAATCAAATTACTGCCTATATTGATGGTTCAATGATTTATGGCAGTATGGAAAATGAATCTCGTGCATTATGGACACAAACTGGACCAGGTAAAATTGATCGATAAATCAAATCAAATTGAATTAATTTGGTTTTTTAATTACTTAACTTAGCTGGTCGAATGCATGTACAAATGGGTGCAAATGGTAAAGAATTATTACCACAGGCATTAGATGCAACAAATGATCAATGTTCAAAACCTGATCAAAATATTTTCTGTTTTAAAGCTGGTTAGTATTATTTCTGGAAAAAAAAACTGAATGATTTTCAAAATTTAATGATAATTTTAATAACATTTTAAAAAAAGGTGATAAAAGAGCCAATCAACATCCTGCATTAACAGGATTACATATAATTATGTTACGACAACATAATCGTATTGTAAATGAACTTAAATATTTAAATCCATATTGGGATGGTGAAACACTTTATCAAGAAGCAAAGTAAGTAAATTTTTCTTATTTCAATTACTTTATGATAAGGATTTATTCAAAATAAATTTTCATTTCATTTCAGACGTGTACTGATTGCACAATTACAAGCAATAACATATAAAGAATGGTTACCATTAATTATTGGCCCGGATGCAATGAAATATTTAAAATTAAATGTTCAATATAAAGGATATAGCAAATATGATCCATATGCAAATGCCGGTATTATCAATGAATTTTCATCGGCTGCATTCCGTTTTGGTCATTCATTAGTTAACAGTGTATTTGCTGAAATTTTACCAAATGGCAAAACAACTGGTTATCGTTTACGAGAATTTTTTTTCAATCCATTCGGTTTCTATGAAGGACAATTAGATGCTGTTTTACGTGGTCTAATTAGTCAGGCAGCACAAAATCGTGATCCATTTATTACAACCGATATGAAAAATCATTTATATCGACCAAAAGATAATCCATGGGGACTAGATTTAGCTGCATTCAATATTCAACGTGGTCGTGATCATGGTATACGTGGTTATCCTGATTATCTCAAATTTTGTTTTGATGAAAAAATTGAATATTGGGAACAATTGGATCAATATATGCCAGCATCACAACGGAAAAAATTCCAAAGTCTTTACAAGTACGAAAACGTTTAAAAGGTTGATTGAATTTTCAAATCAAAATTTTAATTTTTTTGCAGATCAATCTATGATCTTGATTTATTTTCGGCCGGCTTAGCCGAATATCCATTACCCGGTGCAGCTGTTGGACCAACATTTACCTGTATAATTGGTATTCAATTCTATAATCTTAAATATGGTGATAGATTTTGGTTTGAACATGGTTATCAGGTCCATTCATTTACACCAGGTAAGCATTTTGTTGGTTTTGTTTCATAAAAGATTGTTAATTTTTTATCATCTCAAATAGCTCAACTTCATGAAATACGTAAAATAACATTGGCCAAACTTATCTGTGCCAATTCTGATGATATACAATATGTACAGAAAAATGTATTCCGCGGTGAAAGTGAAAGGTTCGTGTTTGTCTTTGTCGATGATCTTCATCTTAATCATTTTTTTTATTCAATTTAGCAATCCTGTTGTTGCATGTAAAACACTTGATGATACACATCTTGGACCATGGAAAGGTGCACCAGCCGGTGATTTAAATGAAAAATCACCATCACCCGGTCAATATAATCATCATCCACCACCACGACCACCACCGAAATTTCATTATAAACCAATGTACAAGTCTTCTGCCGCAGCCGCAGTGGTAGCAGCTTCTTCATAATCTATTTTTTTCAATCATTTTTCATTTGTTTTTTTTCTCTCTCACTCTATCATCATCATCATCATTCATCATCCTCAATAGTCAATCACATTCGAATCTTATAAAAACGAATGAGATTTTTTTCAAATAAATAAAAAAAATTAATTAAAACAAAAATTTTAATATAACAAAAAAGATTTTCAAAATTCATCTTTAACTTTGATCGGATCTAAATGTTTACGATCCGAATTGATCATAATATGATGATAAAAATTAACAACTTTCAAATAATTATCAAT